CACTATTGCTGGGCGCTATTTGATAACATACCGAGGCACTCTTCATCGATCAGGTGCTCTGCACGGATGATTCCCATTTGCCCAAAAGGCTCTAAACGCTTTTGCCAGGGTCCCATATCTTGACCTGCCGGTCGTATTTTCGGTTGCTCAGGGGCCCTTCACATTGGCATCGACCTCATACCACTTGCTCAGAGGAGGGACGGGCGGGGGGGGGGGGGGAGACGGAGCGCTGCGCTGTTGCTTGGACCCATACATGTGAACGTCTCGAGACACTCGATGCTTAGGTGCCCTCTGCACTGGTATAAGCCCCTTTCCCTGTGATCCCATTTTCAATGGACTTTCATCCCTGTCGGAACCTTTTTTGTTTACCTGCCCGGGCCCCCTTGATCGCGCATAGGCCCGCTACAATGATCTTAATTCATAGCGACTCGGGGGTCCCTACGCTGCTGTTCGGGACCCTGCACGTGCACCTGTGAAGGAACTCTCGATCGCTCAAGGTTACTGATTCACGTACATTGGTCCTGACTTCCCCTGTTTGCTCGGAGACCCCAGCACTTTGGCTGGGACCCTATATGTTAATCTGCTGGGGCACTCACGAGCTCGCCACATTGGTCTCGTTCCCACCACATTGGTCAGGTTGCTCTCAGCAGTAACGCAAGGAGAGACGCATGCGCACGTGCCCCCCTCTTAGATCCTGACTCGAACGCCCGAAGGACCCGAATGCCCGGCCGGAGGTCGTGTTCAGAGGTCCCGGTCCGCATGGTCGGGCACTCCAATATCAGCCAGAGGGGCCTTTGCGCCGGTCAGGAGCCCCTTGAATCGGTACGGCCTATGCGTCGGTCAGGCACCACCTGTGCCGCACAGTCAGCCCCGTGTCGGTACGAGCCAGAGAGCCACTTCCCCAGCAGCTGCACAGCTGCGGTCAGTGATTCACATTGGTCGGGACCTCTGTACCTGTAAGGGGCCCACAGTACAAAACAGGGAGTCCCGTGTTGGCAAGGGGCCCCGCGTTGACCGGGGAGTGTTGGATCAGAGTCCACCGGAACCGTCGAAGAAGGCTGTAGGTCACATTAAGAGGTTCGGTCCGAAGGGCCTTCACCTAAAAAATCAGTCAGAAAGCCTTTTGCACAAATAAGAGGAGCGTTAGACAATGCGGACCTCTATTTCTGCCAGGGATGACCAACTCTGACCAGTTGGCTCCGTATCGGAAACAATGAGGGCCCCTGTGTCGGTCAGGTGCCCACAGTGCTTAACAGAGGGTCATTTGTCGACGAGTGGCCCTGAGTCAGCCACGAGCCTTATTTAAGGGTGCTTGCAGGGGGACCAAAGGGATCCTCAGGACCCAAGATCACGGGCACAAGTGAAAGGTTGAATGCCCGAAGGGCCCAATGGACTGGGGCCTATGGTCCAGTCAATTAGGGCTCCTACGTGGAGTCTGGGTCAGCTGCGCGGGCCAAAAGGCCTTTTGCATCAGGGAGGGAGCCAAAGTGATCAGATGCATCCCTCTGAGGGCCTCTGGGCCGACCAGGAGACGCCGCTGTCTCCACTGCCGTATCGCCAGAGCGGCCACCGAAGACGCTGCCTCGCGCTGGAACGAAGCGGACTCTAAACGCTTGGCCGGGGAAGATAATCCGTGATGTGATAATCCGTGATGTGATAATCCGTGATGTGATAATCCGTGATGTGATAATCCGTGATGTGATAATCCGTGATGTGATAATCCGTGATGTGATAATCCGTGATGTGATAATCCGTGCGCCGTCAAATCACGCACATGGGCTTCGATTTCGCGGAGGCTCTCAAAGCCACGGGCTCCACATTTGCGGAGACCGGAGCGCTCCACCTTATTATTTCTACAGCCTTAACATTTACTTTACAGTCACGTATGGAAAGAATCGGTGGCAAAATTGCTTTGGCACCTCCATCTTTGGAGACGTTTCTTTGCTTATGTCGAAACCCAATTCTTACTTAACCTATCAAGCAGCCGCTACGCAGTTTAATCTGGTGAAAACGCTTTTTTAGAAGCATACCTTTATAGTGATTTTAGGTAAAATAAAATGAATTTTTTTGTTCGCTCTGATCTCTTTAACACCTAACGTCTGCATCAGCCGCCTAGCCACATACGGTTTAGGGCGCTACCATCAAAACTGAACCCCGAACACCAAACACCACCACTCTCCAGTCTAGCCAGCACCTCCAAAATACTTGGTATACCCCCTCCCCGCGGACACCTCCAGCCTGGGTGTCCTCCCTGCTCTGACCTCACGCGATGGCCTACGGGCAGGAATCTTCGCGCCAACGTCGAGTCCGTCGTTGCCCGGGCCGCGGCTGGTCAGCGAGATGGTGATGGACTCTGAGTCCGACCCGGCGACGAGCCGCACACTCTCGGTCATGGCCTGGGGTCAGTTCGTCGACCACGACCTCGTGCACACGCCCATCTTCCAGCTCGGTGAGTACCATCGCCGGGAGCGTCAAGCGGTTATGATTAAGGTGAAAGAAGATGATATGTTTGTATTAATGCTAGTGCATATCAGAAGCTTTACAAACACCGAACTGAAGAAAGCTCTAAACCTTAACTGTATTGTGATCGCATCGCTATGGCGCATCGCACATTACGTTGGTTATATCGTTAACACTATCGTTGCTTCCGCTATCCATGCCGAATCCATTTTGCATTCCGGTCACTTCCGTATTGTTATTCTTCTATTTCCAAGCTCTGTGAATGTTTGTTCGACATGCACGCGCGCAGGCAGGCACGCAACAACCAGCCCCTGGCCGCTGTCATGATCAGTGTCACGCCTTTTGAGTAAGTGAGGCGCCCCTTCGTGGTCCCGAATCGGCAAACCCGGCTTCCCAAACACCCCTCCCCCGGGAGCCACGTCTCGCTCCCCGATAACCCTTGACACGGTCCCTCGCTCCCCGACCCAGGCCTGCACGCGCGGTCAGGAGCGGTGCAGCGACTCCAGTTCAGTGTTTCAAAATTCAACATCTGCTCGGTGGAGAATGACATATTTTAAGGGGGGTGTTGGATTCTCAGCTCTGCGTAACAGTTCGTCGCGCCAGGCACTTTGGACCCGTCTCCGGATGGAATAGAAATCGCCTTGTGCATTGACAGGTTTGTTGTTGAGTCCATGGGGGGATTATATAACCGCCCTAGAGGGATTTCCTATTCAGTCGGCTGAAGGGGAAGAACTTTGAAAAAGTGGGCAAACTCGGAGATAATCCAGTTTCGTGACATATCTGCGATAGTTTTTGCCGATTTATTTGCTCCCCCATCCACAACTTATTTTGCGACGCTGCAACCCCACCGAGATCAATTCCGTTTAGCACCTGAACTGGTTGGATTGCGAACGAGACCACCGTGCCGCCAGGTGGCAACAGGGGCATAGAATGCTGCCTGCCGAACTCTACATCGCCGCCGCCGTCGCCGCCGGTGCACCCGCAGTGTCTGCCGATAGCCATCAGGGAGGCGGACGTCTTCTACGGGCCGCACCGACAGCGCTGCATGAACTTCGTGCGCAGCGTGCCGGCGCCGGCGCCAGGCTGCCAGCTGGGTCCCGCCAACCAGCTCAACGACATCACTCACTGGCTCGACGGGTCGGTGGGGGCGCAGAGCTTCACCTGCGTGTAGGGGTCTGGCTTCCTTTTCAGCCCCCCTCCCCCCCGCCAATTTTGGAAAGGAATGTGTGCGGTCCGGGAGAAACCCATTTGTGGGCGTATTTTTTAGTAGCCTTAGGCGTTTTCCCTTTCCTCCAGATGATGAAAGAGATCGGGGACGTGTAACAATAAGACTTGCTGTTTGTACTCAGATAGGTACAAAGAAGATAAAGATGAAATTAGTCATAGCCTAAAGAGGGAAAACCAAGCGGATTATTTGGTGTTTCTCGAAGTATGTCTTAGACACTTAGCAAGCTTCTACCCGTGAACATGCCGGTGGCGTTCTCAAAGTCGGTGGGCAATCCAGTCCATTTCCAATTATGTATCGATAACCTTTAGGCCTAACCAGCCCACGAAGGACTCTACGTTGCATACGAGGGGAATGATATAACAGCACCTTATGACAGAAGTTTGTCGTATGACACTGCTGGTCGGAGACTGAAAGTAACGCTTTTGACTGGATAGACGGCATGGTAGGGCACCCCTCACGGGATTTAGGGCATGGTAGGACGCTCTTCACTGGACAGACGGCATGGTAGGACGCTCTTCACTGGATAGACGGCATGGTTGGCCGCTCTTCACTGGACAGACGGCATAGTAGGAGGCTCTTCACTGGATACACGGCGTGTTAGGGCACTCTTCACTGGATAGACGGCATGGTTGGGCGCTCTTCACTGGACAGACGGCATGGTTGGGCGCTCTTCACTGGCTAGACGGCATGGTTGGGCGCTCTTCATCGGAAAGACAGCCAACAGGGACGTGTCGGCTAAGCAGAGGAACGAGCTCTACGCCATAAGTGTATTTAATCAGCCAATATATTGTTCGATGGATTATTTTAACGGGCGGCATCTATTTTTGTACTTCCGCCAATAGCGCACCTAACATGACATGGTTGCGGCTTGGTTGCACCTTTCGTGTACAGTTGAATTCGTTTCAACTTAGCCTTTCACATATGGGAAGAACAGGGGGTGCAGAAGTGTACTTTTTGTTGCCGACCAAATTTTGGGAGGAAAAAGTGTTGCCAGTAGCGTAATTCGATACCATATGGCAAACTGGTCATGAAGTTCATGCCCAGCAGCGCCATCAGTAATCAGCCTATCACCGAAAGTCTCTTTCACCACTGCAATTTTCACTATCATGCACATAACCGAAACGTTCAGTCATACACTGCCCTTGAACAAATGTCAGGATGAGTGCTGCTCCTAGGAAAGCAGGCGCACCTGCCCTGGACTACTAAGATACCCCAATCACGACAGGAGTTTCCTTTCACCCTCGGCGTCCTCGGGACTTGCCAAGACCTCACGTTTAAACTCGATCTACGGCTAGCTTTGCTTTCCACGACCGCAAAATACAGCGAAGAACCTCGATAACCAGGGCAGCAGAATGCATAGCAGATCCAAACCAGTAGCAAGCGCCGCTGGGAATGACGTCAAATATAGGTTCATTACATCATATCACATCACAAACATATAATCATTTTCATAAAGAGGCATGAGTAGAGGCCATGCCTCTTTATGAAAATGACGTTCATCTCAACCATTAAGCTATCCACCAAACCTTAAGCATGCTCCAAGCCTGGTGTGACATGTTTTGACTGGCGGGCGCCTTCACCGCGTCCCCAAAAATAAGGTGTACATAAATTTGTCAAAAGCTTCACGTCAGGCGGATAGCCCCTTCTGAACGAGTTTCCCACCCTCGCAGAACAGGAGAAGGGTTGGCGATGAGATCCCCCCCCCCCCACGGTTTTCTGAGGATACCAATGCGGCATATTGTGCAGTTTTTCAAATCTTTGCTAGCTTCTGGGGCATCCATTGTACGCGTGTTGACACTAAAAAAAATTGCCGCTTGCAATTCTGGTTTCAGAGTGACAATGTTTTTTACGACCTTTGCAGGACGATGCAAAGTCGGCGGATGCGGCGGGGGGCAAGCGGCGATTCTGCGGGCCACGCCTGGAGGGTTGGCACTGTTACATGAATGAAACCCTGCATCATAAATACAGGCTCCAAATACACAAAACTACATGCCATTGTACTCATAATGAAACAAGGGACACGCCTCTTCATGTTTCATGTCACTTCAGTGCATGGTTTCGTATATATGAACATGCAAAGCTGATGTTTGGTTTTCAGGAAAATTTGACCTTCGACGTGGTCTAGTGGGGTTAGTAAACAACAGGAGACTTCTTACTAATCACGAGATCTCACTAAAGGCAGTCCACAATTTTTTTTTGCGATTTCTCAGTTTGCAAACGTCAGGGAATCCCCCTTCCACCAGTCCGCGTTACAAAACCGGCAAATCAGGGTAAGGGTTAAAATTGCTGTCTGCCATCCTTTTTTATTTATTCTACATAAGCCAGTGTAAAAATCTGTATTTCAGGTTGTGAAAACATCAATTGCCACAACAATATGACACATTTATTACCAACAACCAAACCTTGGTAGAAATTCAATCAGCAAGCCAAAATCGCTCTTTGCATGCGCGTAGCATGCAAATTTAAGGTTATCTGTGCTGTCTGCCATGTGTAACGCCGAAGTGTCAATTCAAAATAGTTTCTGGAGCACTGCCCCATATCTATGCTGGGTTGGGCACCCCTAATGCTGATTCCTGCCATTTCCAGCCGACGTTTCTACCTGGAAAATTACAAAAAAGATGTGAGAAAAGCTAGCCATCACAAAACCATCAAAAACCATCAAATCATCAAACGCAATCATCAGACACAAAACCATCTTCTCTGGACTTAAGTTATTGACCATGATCCACGGGCTGCTATCTTCCTCTAATCATGCTTAAAAATTGGCACGCCTGTCATTATGCCAGCACCACATGTTGGGTTGGGCCCCTCAATGCTGATCCCCCCCCCCCCTCCACAGCCAACATTCCTAGTTGGAAGATTACAAATGGATATTAGAAAAAAGCTAACTACAACACAAAACCATGTTGTTTGGACTCTAAGGACAATGTCAGCAAAAACAGTACTGAAAGAGTAATGAAACATACCATAGTTGCATCCGTGCAATGCCATGGTTACAAGTGCAAAGAAAATATGCACATGAATGAGCACTGCAGAATGGTTGACTTCCAGAGCTTTCTTGTTACCGCAAGGGTGCTATCATCAGGAAATAGCCAGCATTGTTCTCAGAAGCAACCAAATGCCAACATTTCACCGACCTCAAAGGACAGTTGGACCAAAATAACATAAAACCACCTGCTATTTGACGTAAAATTCTTGGTAAAGGGGGATATGGCAATTCAATGTTTACCCCCCTCCCTCTTTGCATACATTTCCTAAACCACTCCATTCCTCGCTTTTATTGCCTCCTCGTGGCCTACCTCATTGGGCATCATAACTTTCCAGCAATCAAGGTTCATGTCAACGAAAGGTTAAACTGTAGATACTTGTTTAAAAGCTATCAAAACATTGATGAAATAATTGTATTTCAAGCAGGGGCGTAGTGAAGATAGGTTAGGGAGCAGTAAAAAAACTATGCAATGCACCCCAAAATATGGATGTCTCCCAGATTATCACAGCACACCTCTTCACAAACTTAGGGGGAGGGCTGGAGCTCTGAACTGAATAAGTAGGAACACATCGATTTGAAGATCCATGTGGCTGGTAGCCATTCGCAATCAGGACGGGCACAAAAATGGCACAAATTGGTATTTCTGAACTATTATCACCTTCGTCATTCTCCTTCATGAGGAGTGCCATCAGACTTCAACATCAAATCCACGGTTCTTTGAAAGGGAAGAAGGTCGGTCGCTTATTACGGATTCAGTGAGTCAACAGCCTTTTCAGTTTCTTGCAAAAGCGGTTTGGATAACCACAGGTCGATTTCTACCTTGATTGGATCATCCCGCCTACTTACCTTGAACTGTCAATGCCTCTCGTCGCCGGGTACAGAATGCTGAATCACGGCACAGCCAACAAAGTAAACAAGGCCAGAAATTAAACCCCAGGCAGGTATTCATGACACTGAAATGCGAATGCCACTTGCAAAGCTGCAGTGCATTGAAAGTCACCATACACCTCAGATCAGTCGCATCGCAACAATCGAAACACGCCGTTGCAGCCACATGAATCCCCATATCGATATATTTTTCATTACCGTATACTGTCTAGTTCGGGACACTGACAGTCGGCTGTTAAAAACAGCGAGTAGGCCGACCGGCCGGGCTATAGGAAGTACACTGATTTGTCGCCGACCTGTTACCGAGTCGGCGACCAACTAAAAATCATCGGATATTTTTGTCGCCGGACTGGAGTGAAACGTTGAAAAGATACCAGGGTGCCGTAAAGTACGGTGAAGAGTGTTAACAGAAACGTTGGCTTGTGTTGTGTGACGAAATGTATTGAGGTGAGGGCATAACATCTATGTATACATACCTCATGTTGTGTTTTGCATAGTGTGCTGTATTTTTCGTGTTGGCCGTCACCAAAATTTGCTGTCCAAAAGCATTTTTAGCGCCAGGCTTCGCGTGAATACATGCATTTTTGTTGGCGACCTTATCCACCAAGTTGGCAGGTTTCACCACCCCTGGGGAAAAATTTAAAATAACAAAAGCGACTTGCCGGCGGAAATTAAGGTGGGAAATCCTTCTCCAACTTCTTCGGGAACTGGTGCTCAGGTCAGAGAAGCAATCCAGCACATCTGTTGCTGGTCGCTGACCTGACCGAACCTGATCTGATGCGAAAGCGCTTCAAACAAGCGGCCGAGGGGTGCAAACCTGCGGCAGTGACGAGGCCAACAGGTCAGATCCAGCATTAGTTCAGCGACCAGCAACAGGTCAGAGCAATTGGTTATGTATTGTCTTTGCAGATCAGTGTTATGTTTCTGCTGAACTGGGGGAGAGGTACCTGCATCGCTATGCTTTGACCGAGGAAAACATTTCATTGAATGTCATGTACTCAGTAGGCACGCCAACGCGGTGTCGCTCACTAGCAATGTAGATCACTTTGGTCCATAGTGTATTAAGCTTGAACCCCTCACCCAAAACGGTGTTATCCACGAGCTAACTGAAAGCCAATAGTACAACTTGACCCAAAGTAATTCAGTTCGGTACCAATCGTACACCATGGCCCTGCCATGGCATGACATGGCGGTAGCGTCCATGTAGCCATGTGCCCATGAACATCCAAACACAGCGACGTGGAAAACTCGCGTCTTCATCAGGCAGAACATGTCAGTAAATTCCTTGTAAGGAGACTCATTCAAAATTGATCACGTGTGTGCCTTCCCACAATTACCACAGGGGCGCCGGCCGGCCCAAAGCGCCACAACAACGGCCAACCACTCTCAAAGGCACCAAACCACAACCGCTTCAAACGGGTGGCCGACAGGTCGCAGATCTATGGAAGCGACCAGGCCAAGCAGAACAGCCTGCGGACGTTCACAGGCGGCCTGATGAAGACCAGCGCGGGTAACCTGCTGCCTCGCGAGACGCTGACGCTTGAAGCGGAGGGCACCTACGGCACCTCCTGTCGGGACCGCGTATGCTTCATCGCAGGTGCGCCACGAATGGGTCCTGCGGAGTGGCGCGAAAGTGAGGCTTGTCAGGACCTGATGGGGAGGTGGGCGGTTGGGGGGGGGGGGGGGGGAGGCTGAAGAGGTGTGGATTTGTGTGGAGTGGGAGACGGTGTGGGAACGGAGAAAGAGCGAGTGGCGCCGCAGCGTGCCGAGGGGGAATGGAATGAACGCTTTCACCTGCCCCGGTTCTCTAGCTGTCTGCTCAAAGGGTGAGCGCGAAGGAGGCAACTCAGACCTCGCCGTGCTCAGGCAGCTTTTTTATGAGGGCACGACGTGCTGAAAGGATATTGCAAAAAAGCACCTCAAATTCGTCAGCGTTGGCGAAGACTGGGCTCCTAGCTGCTTACACGAATCTTGGGAGTGGTGAGAAGTATGATGAAGCCTCACCTATTCGCGCCAGTCATGCGTTGTGTTCATGGGTCCTACTAACTGCGGAATTCGTGTATATGCAAGTGTCTTTCTAAATCAACTGCTGCAATCAGGTTATGCATGTTATGGCTTTATCCAGACGAAGACAAACACGTTGTTACGAAATGTCATGTTGTACGATGTAATTTACTGCCGCGAGTGCGTTGTTTCCCTGACATGCGCTACCAATCGCGTCGCGTTAGAAGAAAATATCTTTAAAAATGAACGTGAAGATAGATTTTGCGAGCTGAGAATATGATAAGAATGCCACATCAAAATCGTACACATTTTGCGTTAGCCTCTTGCTGTTCAGACCATGCATGTCTCGCGACAGGCACGTGCTTTAACGTCCTCTATTTCCATGCGCGGATGTCGGTCATGACGTGACACGTTTTGCATGTTCCAATGCGAAAAGTCCGGTGTTTGATGAGAAGCGTTGGGGTACGGACCTCCTTGTTTCAGGCGATTCCAGAGTCAACGAGAATCCGATCCTGGCCATGTACCACACCATATTCGTGCGTGAGCACAACAGGGTTGCAAACACACTCGCTCAGAAGGTATGCACATTCCTGGGAAGCGACCGCAATGCTGCAACGACGAACTTGAGCCCACGTGGGCCTGATGTGGCCCACATTTGACTATCAGATTTGCTTGGTTCCGGCTGTTGTTTTCCCTTATTCTACCTCGGTGTATTTTCCGCATTACCGGCTGTTGTATTCCCTTCTCCCTCCCCCGCCCCCCCCCCCCCCCCCCCTCCGGACTGATTTGGACGTCGTTCCGTGTTTGTCAAACAAAACGCGCGTTTTTTGCTCTTGTGACCGTAGTTTCCCCGCGTGATACTGCCTATGCCGCGCACGTGCAGTGGACAGGCCAGCGTGCCGGGACGCGTTCTTATGTGAAGTTTGGGTTGGGTCGCAAAGCTAAATTCGTTTGCCATTCATACGTCAAATTAAAGGGCGGGACGCACCGGAGGAAAAGGTCTGATGAAGCAAGGAAGGTTGCCGTGTACTTTATTATGTAGATGGCATGTCTCTGGCCGGTGGAAGTTTTTCGTTACCCTTTGATAACTCCGAAACAATTTTTGCTTTAATACTGACCCAATGGGAGGCAAGCACGCATAACTTAGTGGGACCTAGACCGCGGCGGTGTTTTAGTCCACAGCGTTACAGCAAAATATAAACTTAAAAGTATCTATGCTTCAAGTTTTTGCAGTTCCATGGCGTTGAAAGCATGGTATTTGGCAATATTATCGTATGGTATGTGTAGTGTGGTAAAGTATGGGATGGTATAATGGTACGATATTATGGTATGCTATTATGACATATGTTCAGGAGGTAAACAGGGAAAAAAGATAGCTTCTAAATGAATCGTTCATTGGTCGAAAATGCTCAAATTCGTTGATGTGTCGTAGTCATCAATGATGCACAGATAATAATACCAAGTCAAACTAAGTCCATTTCAGCGCATGTACTTAGAGGAAACGATCAAAACGCTACTTGGGTTGGCTACTTTTTGGGGATTGAAAACTGTCACTGGCTTCTGATTTTTAGTATCTGCATGCTTCGGACGAGGAGATTTTCCAGCGCACCAGACGCATTGTCATCGCCCAGTACCAGCACATCTCTTACAACGAGTGGCTGCCAGCTCTTCTCGGTGATGATCTCCTCTGATGCCCCTGTTTTTTGCATGAGCTTTGTTGGACAAATTTTGTAGCCATTGGAAAAATAAAGAGGTAGAATCGCTTACGTGGTTCATGGTTTCAGCGATCCATGGCGACACTTTCTATACCATAGCTTCTGGCGTTTTTTAAGAGATTCAAACATTTCGGTGAAGAATCTGTTTTAGCTCAGTGATAACTAAGCAGCTGAGACCACTCTCGGCGCTGTAGACCACCATACGAATGATCACAGAAGCTGTATGAAGCATGGACCGTGACAGGCTCCCCCCCCCCCCCTCCCTCCCACCGCGACGCAGCAGAGGGCGCCACGTTTGCTGTCGTCCCCAGGATACTCGTTCGCGCACTCTGTCGGCATTCGGACCACTCTTGACGGCCACTCCAGCGCCTACCTGCCACTCCTCAACCCTAGCATCGCCAACGTCTTCGCCAGCGCGGGCTTCCGACTGCACTCCCTCATACAGAACATGGTCCAGTGAGTGACTGCCGGTGGAGTGCAGTTCTGTGGGCGTAGTTATAAAGAAGAGTTTGGTCATGGAAGCACAGTGGTTGTGCGGAGTGGCAGTTGTGGAAGCACGGTGCTGGTGTGGAGTGGCGGTCACCGCGATTGTGAGGAATAGTGCTGGTTCAAGGCATCGCCACAGATCATCCCACATTTCGCCTATCACCATGACGTTAATCCACTAGATGAACTTACCAATGGCATGTGTCTGAGTTAAGCGTTCAACTGTTCTGACTACGGCAGCCTGAAACGCATCATAACCTCGCATCGTGTCTGGGGCGTATGGAATCCCCTACCCTAGGACACGACCCTGGACACCAGCCCAGCCTCCGACACGATACCATACATCAGTCTAGCCTCGGACACGACACTGGACACCAGCCCAGCCGCGGACACTGCACTGTACACCAGCCCAGCCTCCGACACGATATCATGCATCAATCTAGCCTCGGACACGACACTAGACACTAGCCCAGCCGCGGACACTGCACTGTACACCAGCCCAGCCTCCAACGCGATATCATACATCAATCTAGCCTCGGACACGACACTAGACACTAGCCCAGCCGCGGAAAGACACTGTACACCAGCCCAGCCTCCGACACGATACCATGCATCAGTCTAGCCTCGGATATGACGCTGGACACCAGCCCAGCCTCCGAAGCGATACCACACATCAGTCTAGCCTCGGACGCGACACTGAGCACTAGCCCAGCCGCGGACACGACACCGGACACCAGCCCAGCTCCGGACACGATACCATACATCAGTCCAGCCTCGGACACGATATTGGACACCAGCCCAGCGGCGGACATGACACTGTGGACCAGCCCAGCCTCCGACACGATATCATACACCAGTCTAGCCTCGGGCACGACACTGGTCACTAGCCCAGCCGCGGACACGACACTGGACACTAGCCCAGCCGCGGACACGACACTGTACACTAGCCCAGCCTCCGCCACGATACCACACATCAGTCTAGCCTCGGACACGACACTGGTCACTAGCCCAGCCGCGGACACGACGCTGGACACTAGCCCAGCCTCCGCCACGGTACCACACATCAGTCTAGCCTCGGACACGACGCTGGACACTAGTCCAGCCGCGGACACGACACTGTACACTAGCCCAGCCTCCGCCACGGTACCACACATCAGTCTAGCCTCGGACACGACGCTGGACACTAGTCCAGCCGCGGACACGACACTGTACACTAGCCCAGCCTCCGCCACGGTACCACACATCAGTCTAGCCTCGGACACGACACTGGACACTAGCCCAGCCCGTACATGACACTGACAGCTTAGGGTCCTGGGGGCTGGGGGGGGGGGGGGGAGGCAAATGAACAACACCCCTCTCGGTCAGCACCACTGCTTACTCAGCCACTCTCTGTAGAGAGCTGATGACGGCCGCGCTTGTCTGTCTTCCCAAAGCACGGTCATGGAAGGTCAAAGCCAAAGGTCACGGAACAGTCCACCCTCGCGGCATGTGATACCACTCTGCTTACAAGCGCAGCCGGCGCCCCGCAAACCCCACCATTCCGGCACCTGGCATTGTACTGCACCTGGTGCGGTACTGCACCTTACACTGTACTGCACCTGGCACGACACTGCACCTGGCACTGTACTGTACCTGGTGCGGTACTGCACCTGGCACGGTTATGCTCCTGGCACGGTACTGTAATTGGTACGGTACTGCATCTGGGACGGCACTGCACCTGGCACGGTACTGTGCCTGACACGACACTGCGCCTGGCACGGTACTGTACCTTGTGCGGTACTGCACCTGGCACTGCACTACAACTGGTACGGTACTGCATCTGGCACTGCACTACAACTGGCACGGCACTGCACCTGGTACGGCACTGCACCTGCACCTGACCGCTCGTTTACCAGTGCACCTCCCGTCACGACAGGTTCGTCTCGGCTTCCGGCGCGGTGGCCTCCTCTCAGCTGCTGCGTGAGACGTTCTTCGAGCCGAGCTCCCTGCTCTCCAGCCAACACTTCATCCGGCTGGCGCGCGGCGTCTCAGTGCAGAACCCGCAGGGTTTCGACAAGCACTTCACCAGCGAAATCCGCGGCCAGCTGTTCTCCACCGACTGCGTAAGATGACGTCATCGCGCCTCAGGATGGGTGCACCGATGCTGCATGTCTTTGAAGGTTTTGGGTTTGCAACGCCGTTTGTGGTGTTTTTTTTCTACGGTTTACTTGCGTAAGGCAAAAAGGGTTGCTGCATTTTTGCTGGTTCAGGTTGAAACAAGTGTTTGTGTTGCAACAATTGCGAGTGTTGTAGTAAATGCTCTGGCACGAAGCGAAGTCTCGTAAATAGGTCGAGTGTTGTAGTAGATGCTCTGGCACGGAGTGACGTCTCGTATTCAGCTCGAGCAGCGGGCCGTTTGCTTGTTTTGATCAAATGCAGTGATGAGGTCTTTGGGCTGCACAGAACGTGGCTGCCCGTCGCCTGTCAACCTGTTTGGATCCGTGGGGACGGTTTTGATGATTAGCGATAACTGTCAGAACATTTTACTGTTTCTTACTGCAGGCTGTGGAGATGAATGACAATGACTGTTTGGTGATGGCCGTCGGCTCTTCTCTATTTAATATCGCCTTGTCACCTCAGTCAAATTGTCTGACCTATCGAGTTCAGTTTCGTGTATGCTACCAGCTGCAAGTCACAGCTTTACGGTCCGAAATAGCCCCACATCAATAGCTTCTGGCCATGCTTCATTCCAATCTTATCCCGCTAGAAGAGTATTTCATCCCATTCCTGTTTGGTCCAGCACAGTGCCATTCACTATTGCTCCTGTACCAGTAAACCTTCAGCCTGATAGAAGCATGGGGTTGATGTCCCCCCCTCCCCGCAACCAATGAAGTCTTTTGATGATATCGCTCCGGCATGTTGTGCAATCACGCTCAAAATTGCGGTAGTCAGGTAGCATTCATTGCACGCGCTTTTACACCAAAAAGCACGCGCTTTTACACGTGTCTTCAGGATTTCTGGTGTTCGAGTGGCGACGGCATTTTAGGAACACTGCATGACACCGCAAATGTGTCTAAGATTAAACAAGACACATATCTGTGTAGGCTTCATGTGACTGAATGGAATGATTTGGTGAATATGGAGACGTAAAGCTGGAAAAGTGCGACGTCGGGAAAAATTGACGTTTGACCTTTGACGTTGACGTTTGACGTTTTGACGTTGGGGTCGATTTTGGACCTAGCAGCATATGGTTATTATCAATCACGAGATCTTGTTGATCCACTGGTGCCACTGGCTAATCCACTGGCCAATGGATTGGTTGTACCACTGCCAATCCACTGGCCACTGGATGGGTTGTACCACTGGCCAATCCACTGGCCACTGGATTGGTTGTTCCACTGGCCAACCCACCGGCCACTGGATTGGTTGCACCACTGGCCAATTCACTGGCCACTGGATTGGTTGTACCACTGGTCAATTCACTGGCCACTGGATTGGTTGTATCACTGGCCAATCAACTGGTGCTTCCTGCGAAACTCCACTGTTCTTCCTTCGGAAGCGGCAGGGTGTTTGCATCGCCACTCTCCCCGTGTTATCAGGCCGCGTTATGACAATGGGTGAATCAGGGTGAGGGTAGACAAGCCCGTCGCAGGCGGCACTGCTTCCGTTGTAGTTTGACCTGATCTCGTTTAGCCATGTCCCGCAGGATGACGACAAATCAGCATCCGTTCGTTAGCTTTAAATGAGGAAGGTGAGAATTCGTGCATGGGACACGCATTGTTCAGGAAAAACCCCGCTTTGGACAGACCGGAGCTATTTGTATGACTCCCCTCCCCCCACTCCTGTGCTCCGGCAAATTGCACATACAGCTCCAGCTCCAGCTCCAGCTCCTGTCGCTGTTTCAGTTTGGCCTGGATCTGGTGTCGCTGAATATCCAACGAGGGCGAGACCACGGCATCGCCAAGTACACCCCTGTCCTGCATTGGTGCACCGCCATTGCGGTCGGCGGCTGGTTCGACTTGCTGTCCGTCATGTCTGCCGAGGTGATGGCAGCTTCCGGCTCCTGACGGGAGGAAGCTGCGGAGAGGCTTAAGCGCTGTCACGTGTTTCGGAAAGCCGTGGATTATGTTTGTGATTGGAGTGATTACTGTCTGCTCCGATGTTTTCAAGGGTTTTCACGTTTTCATGGGTTTCCAATCTTGAGTAGCACTTTCATCGTGGCCTTCCGTGGCCTTAAGTATATACACGAGCGTGGCATTGAGCGTATCCTTGAGCTTTGTCTTGGCGTGACGTTGAGTATGAAGGAAAGTATCACCTTCAACCTGAGCTTGAGTATGACCCTTAACGTGACCTTGAGTGTGACCTTCAACGTGACGAGTTTAGCCACAAGCGTGACATTGAGCGCGTCTTTGAGCACTGTGTTCACGTGTCATTGAGTCTGACCTTGAGCGAGCCTTGTGTGTGACCAGAACATGGCTCGCCTGAAGCGGGTGTACGTTCACTGGGACGATGTTGACCTCTACGCTGGGCTCAGCATGGAATGGCCGGCGGCAGGCGCCATGATCGGTGAGTCATCAAAGGTCATCATCAGGTTAGACCTAATCCAGGTATAGCGTAGGCCGCTAAGGTTCAGACGTCACCTAAGGTCACGAACTTTGTCTGTTGACGTCCGAAGTTGATAGGAATGCGCCCCCTTTTTTGGTTGGTCTGAGTGAGAACAAGCGGGAGGCGTCGGAAATCGCTGAATTTCTGTCAAAGAGCGATCCCATGAGTATGATGCTGACGAAAGGCCGAAATACTACGTCACCCTGACGTCACCGCTGTCACGTGTCTCAGGTCCGACAGCGCGCTGTCTGCTGACGGAGCAGTTCTTGAGGTCGCGATACGGCGACCGCTTCTTCTACGACCTTGCTGGCCAGCCGGGCAGTTTCACAGCCGGTAGGCAAACTGGTGACGTCACCGGAAGTGCCAACATTTGTCAGCTGTCAGTAGCATGGTTATCACACGGCTGGCGATAAAGCGAACAAAACATCGTAAGAAGACGGGAATGCAATGGCAAAACTCGCTCCATTTAACACGCGTCCGCGTGGGGGACAAATTGACCCCCACAAAGGTTTTTGCGGCATGGTTTCCGAATGGCGCGGCGTAGCCACGCTTAATTTCACATGGATGTAGACAATGAAATAGCGGATCGTCTGACATCAAAAATTAGACGCACCTTGTAAGGTCGCTGACCTATGGCAGGTCAAACTCAGGCCATGGTTTCAGCCAAGGCAATTTCTAGGGAATCGTTTAATCTGATCCAACAACTGAGTGTTGGACTAAGCCATACATCCTGAGATACTTAATGTAGGTCATAATAGGTCACTGACCTAAAATGGCACATATCAACATTTTATTTTAGGAACACACCGGCTAGCGTTATCTTTGTTGGTCACCATGGTCTTGAAAGGGTCAAACGAATTTACTGATCTAGCTGAGCATATGACCCCTTGCTTATTTAGGTTCCAGTGGCCCTTTGGAGACCAGCCTATAATTTGACCTGATTATACTTGAAGGTCATAACCTAGGAACCTTAAACTTTAACCTCAGTGAGTTCATGTACAGATCAACACACCCTGTGAATTTAGGGTCTCTAGCTGCTTTAGTTCCTGAGGTCTCAGGGTGTCAAACTGACACCCCACCCGAGCGAAAGGTATCCAACCGACCACCTGGGCGCGTGTTAAGACGCCTTAAAACCATCCCGTGTCTGTGATTTTGCGTCATCGTGTAATGGTGGGGTTCTGATGACGTGTCCCCGCCTTTAAGGGTATGATACATGACGTTCGATGACGAACATAAACCAGGCTTGGACTGAAAGAATTTAAATGCTTCCAACTCGGGCTTAGTTTCAATATAAGATTATTCAAGGCTCAACGCAGATTCCAGTGATGTCACGCAGGCCTCCGTCTTTGCTTTACCCAAGTTTATATGCTGCTGCTAGCATCTCGATCGAAACTTACAGCGCATATTTAAGTTACACAAAGATATTGCCAGCGCTCACACGCATTCATGTCATGTTAGTTACAGAGAGACATGCTTTGAAAAAGAGTTGGGACTGCCTGGCAACCTTGTGTAGCATCGATGCCCCGTACGCACCGTGAATTGTCCGGACAGATAGCTCGGTTAGTTGGGGCGCCTGCGTTCCTTCACCCAACCGTGACAGGGTGGACTTGAGTTGGTTTAAACAGTCGCGATCTCCCCCGGACTGGGATGGCTTGTGGCCGGTGACGGCTGCCTCGTTAAAGGGCAGGTGGCGTCAGAGAATATGATGGACCATGCTGAATATTGTGGCATTTTCAACTTCCGTGGCAAAATTCTGCCTTGGAGGAAGAATTTCGCAGGTGTATGATGGGGGGCCCAGGAATCATACCTCAGGCACTGGTTAGCGTGGGTCCTCATCCCAGAGCCCGCACAATCAAAATATTGAACTAAACCATTGAACAACTGTTAGCAGCCAATCACGCAATCCAAAAACCACACATCTATCATCTAACTGACGTCCGAGCCATGTCCCTGGGCTCGCAATTAATCACGCAATCCAAAAACCACATATATATCATCTAACTGACGTCCGAGCCATGTCCCTGGGCTCGCAGTTAATCACGCAACCCAAAAACCACATATCTATCATCTAACTGACGTCCGAGCCATGCCCCTGGGCTCGCAGTTAATCCACGCAACCCAAAAACCACATATCTGTCATCTAACTGACGTCCGAGCCATGTCCCTGGGCTCGCAGTTAATCACGCAACCCAAAAACCACATATCTGTCATCTAACTGACGTCCGAGCCATGCCCCTGGGCTCGCAGTTAATCACGCAACCCAAAAACCACATATCTGTCATCTAACTGACGTCCGAGCAATGCCCCCGGGCTCGCCACTGCAGCAGCAGTAAGGTCGCCCGGCGCTCCAATGCGTCTTTTTCTCGGAGGCTCACTCTGGAGCCTTAGACTGTGGCGCAGCACAAGGCTGCTGCGCGTGACAGTCGTGGTCCAGGCGGCCGACCCCAGCAGCGGACCGATCACACGGGTGTCACGGGCGGATGAAGAGGCTGGCGGCCGGCCCACTCACTCGACGGTGTGACGGGTGACACGGGCGGATGAAGAGGCTGACGGCCGGCCCACTCACTCGACGGTGTGACGGGGAAGCGTGACATGAGTCTCAGTGCGTGGGAGGGGCAGCTGCTGTGCGGTCCGTTTTGTCCGTGAGGGCGGGAGGAAAGCTTCGCCATTGGCAAAGGTGATGACATTGGTGATGCGTCTGAGGACATCTGACATGGCCCCATTGCGGGGCTCGCCTCTGATGATACGAACGGCACCGCTGTCGTGCGATGGAGCACCGCCAACAGGGGGGAAATTTCCTTGTGGTTGAACAGATGATCGCAGATAACCTTTAAAGCATGGTAAATCACATCGGCTGTCCGTACCTGTGCCAGCCTGCAGTGCGTAGTCCGGCCGTCGCCGGGGCGGGCAACGCTCTCACGCAGGTGACACGCTCTCCCCGCACTGACCTGAAGGCATCGACATGGCACGAAACCTAATCATTGACAGCCTTTTGCTTAGATTTAAAATCACGCAGTTGCATAAACTATATCAAAACGAGTCCATAGGTTAACTGAAATCTAATACTCTTGTCTGTACTGCAATGGTTTTTTGTTGGGGTGACACCTAGGCATTAATGACGAATTACTTCGCGAGGTGAATGCGACGAAGTCAGCGAAGGAATCACATGGCATATCATGATGCCCTGAGATGTGAATACCACCTCACCGATAGCCATGATGGAGATGTACCGCCTTACCGATGGTCATGATGGCGATGTGCCGCCTTGCCGATGACCATGATGGATATATCCCACCTAAACGATAGCCATGGTGGCGATGTATCGCATTACCGGTGGACATGATGGAGATGTACTGCCTTACCGATAGCCATGATGGCGATGTCCCACCTCATCGATAGTCGTGATGGAGATTTACCGATGGCCATAATGGAGATGTCCCACCTCACCGATGGCCATGATGGAGATGAGCACAAGGTCTGATATGGCTCTGAGAGACCTTGAAATGGGACATCACTTCGGTGGCCGGCAGGTCAACTGCAGCAGCTGCAGCACTCCAACTGGGCTCGCATCCTCTGTGACAACGTGGGCGGCGACTTCACGAGTGTGCAGCGACTGGCGTTCTTCCGGAAACACCCAAACGTCAACCCTGTCGAGTACTGCGACAACATGCCCAGCGTCAACCTCGCGCTCTTCTAGAGGGCAGATGGATCGAAGCTAACCTGACCATCTGAGCTTGCTGTACGCCTGGAGGGAAGTTTGTCTTCTGCTAAACTGACGGCTACAGGAGGGCAGCCTGACATGCCCTGCGATGTGATATGCTATGATATTTGTGCTATGGCAAAGACGGATGATTTTCAGACCATTAGCATCAAAATGGAACGCTGGAAACAAATGCCCTGCTTTGAGACGTCATAATGTTTATATTACTATTCGGCGCAGTAGTCGGGATATCACCGGGCATTGTGACTTACGCAGAGGTGTGTAATACACCCAAGATTGCACGTGTGCAGTCAGTTTGAATGAGATGTTCGCCCATTCTGTCCCCAAGAAAACTCAAGTCCCTAGACGACCCGAGGAACGCTTGTGTTGCGTTCTGATGGACATGCTCGTGAATGGCTGCTTTTCCGTTGATCAGCGTCAAATGTAAGTATAATGAATAACTGCATGCGTCCAAAACATACTTCACGCGCCCACGTCCACCATCAGGGGATTGAAAAGTAGGGAATGCTGCCAGGTGTTGAGTGAGGTGCCGCGACACGAGTTCGGGTTGACGTGAGCAGGTCTGTCGGAGAAACCAGTCGCGATCTCCGGAGCGTTGTCTCCGTGCGGACTATTGCACGAGCCTCGCGTGACTCACGAGAGTCTCTGCGAGACGAAACTCACTTGCCACGCGCACTTGAGAGCATCGGATACTGCTTCCTACTGACGACCTCTTACTGCCAAGCTGGAGCGCTCGCAGTGACCGCAGGCGTTCCTGCCTGCGCCCGCCAACTGACTAAACAGATCAGTCCTCTGTTTGAACGATAACATGCAGAGTTCACCGACAATGTTTAGCCGAAAATAAAGTCAGCAGCAAGCTGTTCACTGTCGGCAGCAAGGTGTTCACTGTCGGCAGCAAGCTGTTCACTGTCGTTTAATGTATAGACATGTTTTCCAACTCCTAAGATCGCATATTCTGCATCGTGCACATGTGTTGTATTGTCCAGTGTACATTCAGAGGACGAGCACATTAACACTCATTGCATGCACTGGATGCATGCATTTATGCACACCATGCACACAGCAAGCCACTGCAACGCAAAGGTGGTCAAAATCTGGCGCATGCGTGCCGTCGGTGTTCTAAACTTTCCGTCGGCAAATAAGCCGAACTGTCGACATACACAAGCGGCCGAGACTCGACGGGGAGGGGAGGGGGGGGGGGGGGGGAGCGAGTTGAGTACCATTCGGCCCGACCAGCGGGGGCTCAGTTGGAACACGCTGCTCGTGGCCCGGCGCGAGGTGTCAGAGGCGTCTGCGCGACGACTGGCAGCGCGCGCAGGGCGGAGCACGTCAGAGCTGACTAGGTGCGCCGCTCTGAAGCCGTGTGCGCAGCCGCGCGCCTGCGCATTGCCTTTCACGCCGCGCAACGGGTCTCCGGAGCTGGTGAGATGTTGTCCACGTGGTGGAAGGCGGTGGCGATCGCGACTGCAAAGTAAACAACATTCCACATTCGTCTCTTGACTCCCAGAGACGGTTAGCTATTCCACCCTGTGAGGATATGCAGTGGATGTGGAAGTCGAGAACTTTTGTGGTCGAGACGCTTTGAGATGCTGAGACTGCAATATTGTCGTTTGAAGGCACCGGTGGTCGTCTGATAGCCAAAAGTCGTTGTGGCAGCCCACTTAACAACAACCCCTGCGGCCATCTTGCCCAACATCGCCTCCAAGCGCGTATCACATTCATTGTGGACTGACGGAGTCCTGCGAGTCAGTGTGGGAGTATTGCTGATTGGATAGTCAAAACGGGGGCATATCGAATAACCTTATAGTTCTAATGAGATTTATGTGACACTCTGTCACTGTGTAAGAAAGACACTCACACTGTGTCTGTCATGCGTAAAAGTTATGTCTTCAATTCCCCAGTGCTGCTCGTCAATGCCGGAAGGCCATCGGATGACCCGCCTGATCCTTCCCCGTCGGGCCCAGCCGAAGTATGCCATTCTGGTCAACCCGCTGCCAGCGCGGAACCAGCGTACACGACCAGCGTCTCCCACCCGCCCTAACCACAACACATCGAGTGACGTCTGGGCAGGGCCAGCGTTCGGAGCGACAGGCCACGCGTTCTGGCGCAAACAGTACAGCAGTGTCAGCTGACGCTAGATTCTGTCCCATAAACATACCAAAGTGTCGGGCGTCCATTTCAAATTCTATCCAAATTTTAAAGAGATAACGCAAAAAATCCAAATTTATCGGGGGTTCATTTAATTCTTGGCAGTGCAGAACGAGGTGAGCAGAGAAGCAGACGTTCAATAATTGGTAACCAGAAACCCAACGCGAGCAAGACATTAATCCATGTCTCCATGCCGCTCCTGTCTAAAGTATCAACAATTCTCATATTACGATTTCGTTTGTAAATAGGCTCAAATACGCACCTATTGGCCGTATTTGATTCCAAATGGTCCCATACCCAATGGCCCGGCGTGTCACGAAAACAGGGGTGAATATCAACCCCGTATTCCTTTGCTACCACTTCCCGAGTACTCCTGGTGGAGATTACCCCCAGCTGGTCCCAAGCAGGTGCCAAGGACCGCGCTGTATGCAAATGACGAGGCTCGACCCCTGTAGCATCCTTATATCGACCACATGGCATGGGTCTATGGCTGCACATAAAGGCATTCCCAGGGCTGTAGACTGGCATTAACAACAGCTGTTTCCATTTTTTTTTGTCGGAAGCATCGCATTGCTTGTCACTGAGTGTTAATGCCCACCGATGTTTCTGCATTGCTTGTAAGACACACACATGCGCTCGCCGATACAAAGACGTGTGTGTGTGTGTGTGTGTGTGTGTGTGTGTGTGTGTGTGTGTGTGTGTGTGTGTGTGTGTGTGTGTGTGTGTGCGTGCGTGCGTGCGTGCGTGCGTGCGTGTGTGTGTGTGTGTGTGCGTGTGCGCGTGCGCGTGCGTGTGCGTGTGCGTGTGCGTGTGCGTTTGCGTGTGCGTGTGCGTGTGCGTACGTGTGTAAGTGCATAGACCGATCCTTTAACCGATGCTACGATGTTCCTAATAACTGCCAGCTTCAACAGGCACCATCTGGACGTCGTCATAGATGAGCCAGAGGGTGGGGCCACTAAAGGCTCTTCTCCCGGTGGTGTCGGCTTGGCACTGGTAGGCGACGATGCTGTCCGCACATGCTCTAATACGTGAGGTGTTTCGCCAATCGAAACAAACTGAAAGCTTCGAAAACATGCACGCCTTCATACTGATGCACCTCAGGAACCTCAAGAAGCTTCAGCCCATCTTGAGATAGCCTCGGTGCTCAGGGCTGGCCAGCAGGGCGCTTTGAATTCAACACAATACAAAATTGATTATGTTGCGTTCACTATATTGTTGCGCATCATCACGTGCACAGCCGTGTTTGTTTATCAGCGGCAGTAGCAGATAGTTGGTAAAATCAGGAAAGAATGCAAACGCACGGAAAACCGCTCCACCAAACCATAAAACGTAAACCGTGGTAAGCAAACAGAGCAAGGCACACCTTCCTAAAATGCACACAACGCATACATTGAACTAAAATGACCCATAATCGAGGCGGAGAAACATGAATCGACCCATAAACGAAAGCGCGATCCATCATCCTCTCGATGTCTGGCGGGGTCCATCATCCTCTCGATGTCCTCTGCTGTCCTCCAAGCGCTGCCGTCGCCTCAGTTGGCGGACCCCCAGGCGCGCAGGTTCATGCTCGGCAAGTTCCGGCAGGCCGTGATGCTGTTACCGCGGCCAGCCGCCTGGAAGGCGCTGCGCTGGATGCCGCGGATGCTTCTGATGTTGTCGCAGAGCACGCGGGCCCACGACACCCTGCGCAGCTGGTCCAGCTGGACGCGCGTGAAGCTCCATGGCCTGCCGCCCAGGTCGTAGAAGAAGTTGTCTCCCCAGCGCAGCCGTGCGAACTGGTCGCCGACAATGCATTGAATGGTCGGACCGACCGCCGCGCCTGGCACCGGCCGCTCGGACACGGCGCCGACGAACAGGTCGATGTCGTCGACGTGCGCGTACACGCTGCGGAGGCGGCGCACGACATCGGCTGGAATCTGCCGCAGCAGCTGGGCGAAGCTCGTGACGCGCGTCAGGCCGCACCGCGCGCGCATCGTGTTGTAGGTGGCGATGCCGTGATCGCGGCCTCGCTGCACGTTCAGCGCGATGAGGTCGAGCCCGAAGGCGTGGCCCTCCTCCTGGAAGAGGAACTCGGTCAGGTCCTCGGCGATGTTGGCGTCGCACGTCTGCGGATGCTGCGTGATCATGCCGATGGCGATCTGGTCCAGCCGGCCGTCGTAGATCAGCGTCGGGTCGAAGAACACGTCGCGCAGGTTGATGCGCAAGCTGACCGAGGAGCTGGCGACGCGAGGGTACAGCTCAAGTTCGCCCTGGATCAGCGTGTGGCCCACGCGGAACGCGGCCGTTGAGAACTCGGTGGCGATGCTGGGGTTGACCCTGGGCGAGTAGCGGCGCGAGTAGCCCCGTCTCTGCGTGCCGATGCGCATGCGCCGCATGTACGCTTCGCCAACCAGCAGCGGCAGCCACTCGTTGTACGTGATGTGCTGGATCTCGGCGCCGACAATGCGGCGCGCCTCCTGGAAGAGCCGCTCGTCGTCCCATTCGGGGTTGACGCGCGCCAGGCCGCGTGCGAGTCGGTTGTGCTCGCGCATCCAGACGGTGTGCATGGTGGCGAGGCCGCTCTGCTCCGTGGCGCGCACGTCGCCGGCCAGGAAGCAGGGCCGTCCCTCCGGGTCGGGGCTGAAGCAGGGCGTCTCCGTGTCGATCTGGACGCCGGGAGGGTCGCGCGGCAGCAGTGCGCCCCTCTGTATCAGCAGGCGGCCGCCCTCCCCGGCGCGAACCAGCGTCGCGCGCGACTCGCGAGACCCGTACACGTTGCTAGCGTCGATGAAGGCGGTAAGCACGTTGACAGGATTGGCTGGACCGGCCGAGCAGCCGGCCGGCACGGCCGGCACCGAGCGCGCGAATTCCATGCAGCGCTCGCCCAGCGCCCCGTAGAACGCGTCGTCCTCTGGCACGTCGATCGGCAGGCAGCGTGGGTGCGCGTCGTCAGCGACGACACCATCGACGCAGCAGTCAAGCTCGACGCCCGGCGCGGCGAGCTGCACCGGCGACAGCGTGATGTCGTGGTCCATGAACTGGCCCCAGTTGACGACGGAGAGCGTGAGCGCCGTGTTCTCGTCGTCGGTGCTGCCAGTGGTCCCCGCGCTGACGCTGCGCGCCGTCGGCAGCGCGCCGCCCG